CTTCCTCTGGCAGTTCAAGCACCAATGCTTTCTTTATATATGCTAAACTTTATCTTATCAGTAAAATTTACGGTGGAACAAAAGACATTACGTCATCACCAAAAGATGTGATCTCATTTGTATCCTCTTCACGAGTTACCACGTGTAAAAAAGTTCTCACGCGTGATTACTCGTGAACTTCCTAAATCTTTTTCTTAGTTTCCAACTTTTCCAAACTATTTTAGTTAATACTTCCTCCCGGGGAAGAAGATGATTCCCAGGCATATTCCTACAGAAAATACCTTCGGTCTACAGAAAGGTTTTCATCTGTATGTATGTACAACTTTCGAAAGATATAGGAGAAATTTGTATTTATGCTTGCCGCTCAATCTTCACGACATTTCAAACCTGTAAAAGGTTTCACACGTGGACGCGCGTGAAACGTAAGAATTTTTTTGAGCGTGAATATTATTCAAGAAATGAGTTGCGTGAAACACTGACGTGCGAATAAATGTGAAGATATTTTTCACAATGAAATTAGTGGAAATCATTTTCACGCGTGTCCGCAAGTGATATTTTTTATGGAAATTTTAACATGAGAAATTCACGTGTGGCCACTGCACACTTCACGACTTTCAGCTGTGATCACGTACGAAAAATATGACGCGAAACGTTTTCGTGATCAGTTCACCTGTTGTCACACGTGGAATATATTTTTCACGCGTGCCCACACACCATTTTACGATGTTCACGTGCGACCGCAATTCATTTCACGATATTCACGCGTGTACACACCGCGGTACCTACTAAAATTTCCCCATGTACGGGAAGATGAAATTTCCTATTTAAGTGGACTAATTTCTCTAGAACAAATGTGTCACATCGTATCGAAAAGTTATATCAAAACTATGCGATAAACGGTTTGCTATACGTATATTGTGGGTGTTGTATTTAATTTCAAAAACCTCCTATATAGTATTTCAAAATATACCTAACTGTATTTGAAGGAGTATTTGAGAGGTCTGCGCTCTGCAAATCGGAATGCGCTTCGTACAATTTCAAATACAAAAAGCCTCTGAAATACGATCTTTGGTATTCTCAACTACGCTTCAGGGTTTTGTGCAATTCATAAAATTGGTTTCCTTTTTCCGTGTTTTAATTTGAAAATCTCCCTCATATTCACCCACACTCTTAAATTACACATGAGGTTACACTATCACAGGAAAGAAAGCATGTACGCTACTTCAGCATCGAAGGAAATCAAAAACGAAGAACAAGGTAGAAGCAGCCTATTTTAAATTGCATGAACCACATCATACCGAGACCTCCAATTAGGGAAATGATAGGAGAATGAATAGTATTATAGGCGGCCCATAAAAATAATCTTAATGTGGATTGATAATCTTCGACACCAATAGCTTTCCCAGTTTAAGGATATTTTGTAAATCAGGTGCAGCACGCGAAGTATATAAATTCAATTCAGTAATAATTCTAGTATCTTTCTACTCTATTTATTCTATACGTAGGTAGTTGGATCAGAGAAATATGAAAATGAACTAGTAAAATAAGAAAAACAACAGCAAAGTAGAAGCAGAACGTTTGTAAGTCTTACTACTTAAAAATATCTTTACTTACAGAAAAGCGTTATGAAGTATGGAGGGTCTGAAAACGCTTTTCTCTAGCTTTTCTCTCTTAGAGAAAAGCGTAAGCGTTTACATACTGGTACAAAGGTCATTTGTTAGCGGGCTTATCAATGCCACACAAGTGAAGGTGCATGCATAATGAAGAAAGGCCTCTATAAATCAACGAGTATATATTTTTTACAAAAGAATGTGAAAAGACATCAAAATGCAATGCGATATAACTAACTAAAAATCGACCACGCATGACTGTATAGAGTACCGTATAGAGTAGTATAGCATTTTTGAAAAATATGTGAGGAAATGCAGATTTTTCTGATGAACCTTCTGATGTTTTCAAAATTCTTCTGGAATCTGTTTTCGGATCAAAACAAATATTTTTCTATTTTTGGTGTATCGCAGTCTGACAACTCAGCCCAGATCATCTATCTTGCTTTTGTCGCGCCGCGATTCGCTATAAAAAGTCGCGACAAGTACGCGTAACGCGATCACGGTTATGATCACGAAATAAGAGTCTTGTTTTATGATCGCGGTTTTGCCGTGGTCTAAAAATGAAAGCGCTGAATTCGTGACTGTCATGCCGCGATCGCGATTTATTCGCTATTCTTATGTTATCTTCCTAAAGAAGTCGCAATGTCGTACCACGATCCTGCTTTTCTCGCGAAATCGTGCCATGACTTTCTAGTTCTCGCGAAGTCATGTCGAGATTGCGCATAAACTGCTACTGGAGCACCGGGACTCCCATCGTGAATAATACATTATCGCGTTGTTCGATTTTCGTTTCACCAAGTGTTTGATTCTAGCTAGTTAGCAGGACTTGTCTTCTTGAGCGTACGACTCAGTCTATTTTTCTCCGTGAGTGAATATTATTTCGGACGTTTCAGTAATAGTTCACGTTATATTAAGTTTCTATTGAATTCAGAAACTTTTTGTTTGTTTGAAAGTACAGTTAATTCTCTCGAAATAATATTCACTCAGGGAGGAAAATAGATTGAGTCACGCGCTCAAGAAGACAAGCCCTGCTAACTGACTGAAGTCAAATGGAAGCATAGAGTTGCTAAAAACATCTAAACGTAGGCATTATGCACCTTGTTTTACTCCGTTTTTTCTTCGAGAACATGATGCAATTAAGTCGGTAAACAGCAATTTTGAAGATGTAGTCTCTCGTTTCAATCCTGCCGGCATATTTCTGTCGCGATGTTGAACTATCTTCTTCGCTCTATTTGTAAAAAGTTAACAGCGAGCTGTGATAATGCTAGTGGAAGAAATTTGAGAATGTTTATCCGTAAATACTAGACGCTAATGTCAGTTCGTTGCTAGAGCCAATCTGGCGCCCTGTGAATGAGGCAGAATGGCTGAGCCCCAATCCTCTGTGCGTCAAACAGGACCGCATTGGTACTCACTACATTATGACAGTCACCAACGGCAAAGCGATCTTACACCGAGGATATTCACGATTGCGATGACATCAATCTTTGATGCATTTCTCACTTTAGTGCATTTTTATTTTGAGACCTGGTGAAGTTAAAATACTTAACGAAGCTGCACATAGTAGAAGTTCATATATTTTGAGAAAAAGAGCGCTCCATTTTGATATCCAGAATAGTTAAACAAAAAGATTTCAACTTTGTGTCAACCAAAGTGGAAAATTTATGTACATTGCACTGACGATTCTCTTACTATTTTCCTATGTTATTGCACCGACCCCGTTTAGAGTGGCATTTTGTTGAACAAGGGACTCCAGCTTTCTTACAAGGGCAATGCTTCGTAGCGCATTTACTTTTACAATCGCATGTTGAACTACTTACTGATCCACGCGCATATAGTTTACATGCTTCAATGAATGTAACATTGTCTAAAGCATTGACATCAGTTTGTCGTAATTCTTGAGGACATGATGATTTCAAATCGACAAGATCTTGAACTGAAAACAAATTTAATAACTTACCATATTGGCAAGATAGTCTAAAAACACCAGTTCCATCTTTACTACTTTTTTCAACAATCAAACACGGTAAGAGTTTCGGATCGGTATTAGTTCTATCAGCTGTATCAATTCGCACACCTACACAATCATTTACAACAAACTTCTGTTCCAAATTCAACAAATGTTCATCATATTTTTTTTGTTTTTTTGTTACCGTGCGTAAATAATTATCTGTAGCTGCATGTCGTACAGGATCATGACGTAAAAATGATAAATTAGAAGAAGAAGGTTGATCAACATCAGAAAAGGTACGAGAACGAATTTTCTTTGAAGAAAACGATGAAGGAACAATTGGTGCTATTAATTCGCTTAATTCATCTAGAAGTGTTATTGTTGATCGAATCTCAGGGTCATAAATATGAGGAGATGATGTAGAAGGAACATTTGAATGCGCATTCGACAAATGAATAGCGTTCTTGATCGGTGAGTCGAAAGAAATGAGATCAGAATTAGTGTGAGGTATTTTTTCTGTCAATGAAATATCAAGAAAAGAATTCGAAACAGCATCATAAGTTAATTTTTCAACAATCGGGACCACCTCCTGATCAATACCATTACGAACATCAAATGAACTATCCAGTTGTCCAATAACCATATTATCAGCGTCATCAACTGGACTCGGTAAATCTTCCTCATCAACAATTTTTTTTTCATCAATAATTTTCCAAAACTCAGAATCAGAACGAGGTGCTTGACCAAACAAAACTTCATACGATGATTTTTTAGTGACACTCGATACTCTTGTATTGATTCCATAAATAACCGGTAAGAGCCCTTCAGACCAATGAGACGAATTATTTGTACACAACCATTTACCTAACGCATCACACAAAACTCCATTCGCACGTTAAACACAACCTTGTAACTGAGGATGTCTAGGCCTACCTCGTACAAAACCCATATCAGGAAACAATTTTTTCAACTCAAAAATGACATTTGCAACAAATTCTCTACCGTTGTCACAGTGGAGCAATCGAGGTGGACCAAACAAAAAAAACAAGTCACGCAATTTCAAAGCTACTTCACTAGCACATTTATTTTTCAACGCAAAAGTCCAACAATATTTGCTGAAATGATCAACACAATGTAAGATCCATTGGAAAACAACACCATTTGAAACTTGGTCTGGACGCGTTCGCATATCTATTAAATCGATTTGTAGACGAGTTAAAACTCCTAATGAGATAATTGATTTGGCTACAACATGCTGTTTGATTGGTTTTCGAACCTGACACGATGTACACTGTTTCAGAAATATTTCCACAACAACACGAGGAACAAATGAATAATGAACTGAAAACGTTTTGTCACGCCCCCCACGAGACACCGCGATGTGAGATTCACTTACAATATTGAAAAGAGATTCGTAGAGACAAACAGGTTTTTTATCGGCTAAAGAACATACTATTTCGATCCCAGCAAATGTTGACAGAACAAAATTAGACTTTGCCCAGAAAACAAATTTTGCTGAAAGCAAATCTGACTTCTTACCTTTTTCTAACTTCTAGGCTTGAACAACAGACTTATATGTTGTCTGTTTAATTACATATTTCTCACGATATCTAATATTCATTGAATCAATGTGTCGATCAAGATCTTTATAAAAATTTGTTTCAACTATATTATTTTGTATGCAAGTAGTTACGATCGATGAAGAAGTCATGGCTATTTTTATTGAGCAAGTAAATGAAGCTGATCGATTATCACAGCCTATTTACTCTCTCAGTTGACAATGATCACAGTTACTAAGAACATTCTGCTTCTTTCTATTTCTCTCTTCTACTTTATACGGTTACACAGTATAACTTTCACCAAGGAGTGAAAACTACTTTGTATGACTTTCTCGAAATATGTCGAAGAAGGAGAGAAACAAGTGATGTCATAGTTATAGAAAGATGATAATAGTCAGTTTTTGTTTCACATTAGAAAATAAATAACAACGTCGTCTTTTCTTCATCGTCGAATCTTTTTTCAAGTAACTAGTAAACTATGATTATCCTTATATAAATTTATAAAATTTCTACAAGATTGTTCATAAAACGAAAATACAAATGTTTTATCGAAAGAGACTTTTTTTCTTGTACCATGTCTCACTAAGGGCTAAATGGCTCATGGACGTCCGGGTGAAATTAAGAGCATGATTTGTAATAAATGACTGAACTCAGATATTATATTTTTCAACCTCACTTGATTAGATTCTAAGTTGGGCTGGATTCTAATATGGACTGAATAAGTCCAACTTGGAATTCCGATTTGGATTGGACCATGTTAGAATTCCAAGTTAGTCTGCTTAATCTCTAGTCCATCTTGGAATTCTAAGTTGGTCCAGTCCAGATTGGGATTCCAAGTTGGACTAGACCAATTCGGAATTGAACTAAATTTTAAGTTGGACTGTAACATATATGTTTATGTGAAAGATAAACGCACATGTCCTGGGCCAGTTCTATGTTATATATTAGGAATCCCAATAGGACAGGACAAAAAAAATCTATTCATTTCTTTTTTTATGCATAAAGGCATAGTCTAGTTATTGATAACTAGCTGCTAAATTGGAGAAATTATTAAAAGATCGTATGCTTTTTGGCATCATGGCATCATCCATGACAGTAAATATTTTCGAGGATGACTTTCCATTAAGTTCAGTTGAGAATAAGCATAAAAAACACAAAAAGTCACTAGAAAACGTAAACGCAACGGTGTTTCTGACACAAAAAAAGGTGTTTTTAGCAAAGATTGGTTGAAAGATCCCAAATATTGTGACTTTTTACAAGAAGTTCGCCATGATCCTACTAAAGCACGTTGTTCATCGT